AGTAATGCTATGTAGCCTGGTTGAAGCTCACATATGTTTGGAGGAACATACAACCTCCATCTTCATAAATGAAGAGTGAGTGACTCAAGTAGCCGCCGGCAAGAATCAGGTGACAAGCAAAGTCAAAGTTCCTCTGGAACATCTGCCAGAATACTGTGCGTCAACATCCCAGAAGATAATACTATTCATAACCATCACTATGAGAATCCCAGATCTAATACTGTTAAGACATTTTGCTACATTTCAGTTGCATCGTGAATATAATTATGAAAGCAGTGCAGCTGATAAAGGATGCCCTTGTTTTACTCCTTTATTTGTTGGTACAGGGAGTTTTTTTTATTGCTAGTGGGGTGGAACTAAGTCCCTTGTACTGCGGCCACTTCTGGCCTCTTGTACCAGCCCCAGATGATAAGTGAGGCTGATTGTGGAGCAATTGGTGGAATGAAGATTGGCAGGGGAAACCGAAGTACTGGGAGAAAACCTGCCCCAGTGCCACTTTGTCCACCACAGATCCCACTTGACCAGACCCGGGATCGAACCCAGGCCACTGCGGTGGGAAGCCAGCGACTAACAGCTTGAGCTATGACGTGGCCTAATGGGAGTTTACTTCAAATTTCTGTACTTCCTATTATGCTGTAATGCCCACATGGACACTTACCACAGGATTTACAAGCTACTGTGGATAGTCTTTCTCTGTTGTAACTTCCTACAGCTTACTTTGATTAACACTATCAAATCCTGGCCTGATTTCTTCCCTGCTCCCATGTGGGATCCACATTCAACTGCAACACCAGGTTGTGATCGCAGCCTCAAGAGTGTAGGTCTCATGCCAAGGAACATCTCTTGGTGATATAGTAAGCTGTTTTATATTACATTTATGTTTTATATTCTATTTAAAAGTCACACTGAGGTGAGACACATGTTGTTTAGGTGTTGTAACATCTCTGCCTTCCTGCATCCAGTTGAGGTTGACTTTGGACGGAATGGGTGGGTATTCCATGACCCGTGTGAATGTAGTTGAGTCTGCATAGGACAGCCAGGCCACTTGATCAACACCAGGGTTGAGGAGCACCACCGACATGTCTTCAAGAAGACCGGATAAATCATTCATGGAAGAACACAGCATCAATTTGGGACTCAGCATCCAGTTCCAAGACACCAGTATGTTCTCCAACAAATCTAGGTACATAAATTGCATCATCAGAGATAGAATTATGCTTCATTCGAATAACATGAAGAGGGAGGTTGACTTTCGCCTCAGCAAGCCATGGAAATCTCTCATCTCATCTTTGAAAGGACACAGAAGGCCTCCCTCATAGGTTTCATGTGATGTAGTTCTCCTGGTTGTTAGGCCCATGCACACTGCCCTTTTTGATGCATGGACTGTGCCCTTTCAGAAACCCATACTCCTAGTCTTCCTTGACTTTCTGCTACAGCTTATTCTTTCATCTTCTTGGGTCTTCTCTGCTGCTTCCTGCTCCTCTTGTCCCAGCATGGCCTCTTCCCCACACATACATACAATTTCTCTCCACTTTTTCTTCACATTGCATTCAACCAGTTCTTTTCACAGCCACACCAAGGTACTGCTTCCTTCACTCCCAAGTGCTGTCTCTGAGTCTCCTTGCAGACAAAAGTTACTCATCCTCAGGCTTTTTCACAGTTTATTTCAGTTTGGGTTGGTCTATACCAGATTGGATTTTCCCTGTGCAATTCGATCAGCTTAGCACCTGCTTCTGCTGGTTTCTTGCATGGCTTAATCTTTGACCCTGAAGATGGAGGTGACATCTACCTCTGAAATGTTTGGCTGTCTCTGAATACATGACGATACAACCCAGGAAACTGTACTCATACTCCTCGTTATCACCTTCCCAAGAGCCTTGAAGCCAACATGTCAGACAACAGTTACAATCAATATTAAAGGTAAAGGTAAATTGTCCCTGTACTTCATTAATTAAGCAGTATGCCATGACAATATATAGGGGAGTGGAGGTTTAGCTCCACCATTCTTGACCTTGGCACTAGATCAAGGTGAGTGATCAGTTTCATGCCCTGGCCACTTTAACAACCCTCCACCCCACTCCATTTGCCTATTATTTGGGAGGCTGGGTGGGTCATTGAGGGAGAAGAGAAATATCTCTTTCCCCTCCCATATATCAGACCCTGGTCATCCATCTCATAACACCATTGCTGTACTCACTGAGCTATCCTGGTTGTAGTTATGATCAGGAGGAAAATTAATAATTTATCTTACAGTTTCTTAATTTGGTATACTGTTTACTAAATTTAATTTATTTATCTCTGAGATACACAAGGATGTGAATCTCACAAATCTGCATTTGAAACATGCCTGTTTGTGATGCTCTGTACGTCTTGCTCTGTTCCTTCTGGGATAGTACATAGGCACAAGAATTTGGGTCTGAACAATGATTTATCCTCTACTTTCATATGAAATAAAGAATATTTATTTTGTAGGCTTCACTTTATTAAAAAATATTTTTTGAATACAAACTAACCTCCAAAAATGATTTTAGCGACGACTGTATTAAAATCAGGAGAAGGGGATGGTTGATTCTATTCTTATGAATGTCCTTGGATGAAGTTGCATGTATAATTTAGTTTCGATTTGTGTAGTCGGAAGCAAGAGGGGAGGTCACTCTGAAGCCCTACTGGCACAGTAATCTGCCTAATACCGGGAAATGTAGGTCAGAATACTTCACGTGTCATTTTAAGCATAACAAATAACAATAGTGAATGCACTCTGTTTTAAAGTAGGGAAATTTCAATAAAGTATATATCAGAAAATGCATATTGTACCAAGTACAACATATATTTCTGGGAACATGGTGCATTAAGTCTCAGTATAAATTCTTATAAAGATTAATATGTTTTGCATCTAAATTTTCAAATCTGAACCTGGGGTTTTGGGTGAAATAAATTAGTCATTTCTATTTTCATTACAATATTTTCAGCCAGGCTGGCTATTTTTTGTGTTAAAAGAAGGTAGCAATAGATATTTGTCTTTGAATTTAAAAGTCATTTCGCATGGAAATTAATTTTATGAATGTACTTGAACCTTACCTCCATCTTTGAGCTGATTGTCTAGATAATGTGGGACCCTCAACACCTCACAATCCTATGGGCCTTCATGACCTCTTACAGGGATAGCTTTACTTTTATATGATTCCATGGATTGAAATCCTGCAGAACAGACTGAAAATTCTCTTGATAATCAGGAAGCTTCCTACTTCGAATAAAAAAATAAAATAAGACATTTTTATATACCACATTTAAAATTCCATGCTCATTTTATTTTTATTTCTGATTTGTACTTTTTTAATTTTATTTTTAATTTAGTTTTGTATCTATACCTTTACTCGGGTAAAGTCCAGTACCTTTTGTCTTCTCGTCTGTTGTCCAAAAACATAAAAATTAGAGTATACAAAACTATAATTTTGCCTGTGGTTCTGTATGGGTGTGAAACTTGGTCTCTGACAGTAAGAGAGGAACATAGACTGAGGGTGTTTGAGAACAGGGTGTTGAGGAGAATATTTGGACCAAAGAGGGATGAAGTGACAGGAGGTTGGAGAAAACTGCATAATGAGGAGCTTCATAACTTGTACTCTTCTCCAAGTATAATTATATTGATCAAGTCAAGGAGGATGAGATGGACAGGGCATGTAGCACGGAAGGGAGAGAAGAGGAATGGATATAGGATATTGATGGGAAAGCCAGAAGGCAAGAGGCCACAGGGAAGACCAAGTTGTAGGTGGGTGGACAACATTAGAATGGATCTTAGAGAGATAGAATGGGATGGTATTGATTGGATAGATCTGGCTCAGGATAGGGACCAGTGAAGGGCTCTTGTGAACACGGTAATGAACCTTCGGGTTCCAAAAAATGCTGGGGAATTCTTGAGTAGCTGCAGAATTTGCAGCTCCTCCAGAAGGGCTCAGCACTATGAGTAAGTAAGTAAGTAATCTATACCTTTATGTATTTGGATATTTCTCTTTAACACTTGCGGGCATATAATCTGTAATATTCTTCCCTAAAATGTCCTATTTCTAGCGGTCGTTTTGGTCGTGACTATTTACAAATTTGGAAAATTGTGGGAGCTTTTAGAAACAGAACTTCTGATACTTTTCCGAAAATTTTATAAATTATTCTTCTCGGTTGAAATTTTATGACTTTTTAGGGGGGACCAGCAAATTTTTCTAGTGAATCTAGGTCACAATTTTATTAATACTTATTGTAAATTTTATAATGTCTGTTGTTTACTTCAATTAATTATCTAGTAGCATGTTAAAGTCATGTTTATTTTTGAAATGGGCTGCAGAAAGGAAAGTAATCCCAGTGTAGTTCCGCGTATGTTTATTTTCATTGTATAGCCCCATTAACAAATTTTGCGCCAAAAGATGATTCATATGCTCAGTGGAAGTAACGAATAAAATGGACATTATCGTCAATTCTTTTACTTCTTTGACGGCTTCTAAAGAGAATTCTGATTACTGAACTGGATTATTAAGTTGTATTCATACGCATACTTTTGATGCTTATTTATTTTAAAACCATTGCATGATGGGATTTAGACACCTGACGCCATATTGGTTAGGCGGTTGTTGTACAATATAAAGAAATTCGTGTTAAATAGTGGGTTCAAGTTCAGGTTTATACTTGATGGATATTATTTTACGTAAGTTGAGTTACATGCATAACTGTCGTATGGTTTGGGTGGTACATGTTTGGTAAATTATATTGTAACCTAAACATAGGCTGCTCCAAGTTGTGTCTTCCCCCCTGGTACTTCACCATTTATTCTGTATTTTAATCTTATTTATAAACACGTGCATGTAAGAGATCATGGCTTCATGAATTCAATTATTGTAATAGGCTTACATGCAAGTGATGTGACCACTGCAAGGAATATAAGTTGGCATTCGTGGATTGTATACTACATATCAGCAAAGGGTTGTGCAGCAGACGTATTGCGTCGTCTGTACCACACCCAAGTGAGGGCGAGGGAGGCAGGCAGGCTAAGTGGAGCCCTACACGGAGGCGAAAAAGTGTGTGTGCGTGAATGTGTGTGTGTATTACCGAAGGCAAACCGAGTGCAAATTAATGTTTATTCTTTTATAGGAGTGATACGTGCGTGAGGAGCCGTGAGGGTTTTGAATCCCTTTCAAAACGGCACGTAAAACGGCTCGGTACAGATAATATTGGCTGAGCAACCCTCCGAAGTAAAACATGGCGTGCTGCCTGTCGGAAGAGGCGAAGGAACAGAAGAGAATAAATCAAGAAATTGAAAGGCAACTTCGGAGGGATAAACGTGATGCGAGGCGTGAACTTAAACTACTATTATTGGGTGAGTTTTTAAGAAAGCGTTGAAGGAATTTAGTGTTGACAGTACCGACTTGTCAGGCACACCAGTGGCATTTGGGTTAGGCATCTAACAAGGGGGTCCACGTTCATATTACTGTATGTGAAACCTGTGAATCCTCTCTGCTGTATTTTTAACCCCATTATCTGTATAGTGTCTGTGCAGGAAGTTCTCATATTAATCCATTGAACCTTTAAATTCACATGAAATTGATTGAAGCTCATGATAGGTGACAGTCATGACAGGTTGTTCAGTTGTAGGTACAGAAGCAATTATTTTGTGTCATGTCCATTGTCTGTTGTTAAGGTACCTTTTAACAGCACTTTATATAAACCATGATGCCAAAAATTATGTCATTAAATTGTAGTAATGTATCGAATACTAGGGTTAAAAATCCCTCCAGGATTGGAATCTTACCAAGTTGGTAAAAGTGTATTCATTGGTTAAAATAGTGGAAAGAGCTGTTGAAATTCGTCAGGGAATCATTTATTTCATATTTTCGTCTTTTATGGCCTTTATTTCCTTTATCTTTTGTGCCTTTATTTCATTCCTTAATCTCTCTGGTATAAATGTGAATTAAATTACATTTTTATCCTTCAGATGGCACAGTTTCAAATATAGAGCTGTTACCTTTGTGACTATAAGAGGATTACTGTGACCTGAGGACAATGTAATACATGCACATAGTCAGATAACACACATCTGTGTTTATAATTTGTCTATATAGTAATGAAAGTGGTCCTACATTTGCAGTTGTACCAAGTTTGGTAATTTCCAAGAACATTAACGCCACTTTCAGAACTTACTTGGAATGGGATGTAAATAAAAATGACAAAATACAATATCATTAAACTTTTGTTAACATCATGACTTAATTGAAATTTACAATATCTTATTAGCTACAGTTGTGGAATATGGTAGAATTTAAACTGCCATGTTCATCATATATACCGAGGCTGGAGAAAATTGTCACATGGATTTACCCCCTCCACACTTCCCTAGACTGTTTCATTTTACCTCCCCAACATATTTCCCACAGTCATATAGCCATTATGTTTCCACAGATATTTGTATTGATAACCATATAATAGTTTTAACTAACAAGTGGTTAGGCCAATTGACATAGGTTAAAAGGGGCTTAAGGTTAGTAGAACAGTAGTCCAAGAATGGGAACCCCCAAGCACTTTCATCTCCACAGTTCATGAAATATTTCTGTAGACCCTGTTTAGTAATAAAACTGAGAGCAATTGTTTTAACATTTGCTTGGTTTCTCTGTATATAATGCTGATCAGTTACTTATGCATCATCTTAAAGATTGCCACTTACGTACTCTGTTTATTGACAGATACCAGCTATGCTAGTGAAGTTTAAACAATTCATTAACAGCCCGATATTTGGTGACACATTAGGTTAGGTTTTATTTGGTTGGTTTAACTTAGTTTTTCTCATATGTTAACACAACATGAACTCTGTCCAGTTTGGCTGTACATGTACACTATGTTGGAAAGTACATTATTCCTCCTTTCTTTATGGGGTTCTATTGGAAAGTTCTTGGACTGTGTCAGAAAAAAAAATGCCGGCATAACTTACCCCATTTTGGCTGATATCTCCATTAAAATAGTCTGCTTGGGAACGTATACAGCAATCTCATCATGTTTTCCATGCTTCAAAAGCATTGTGGAAGTCATTTCCCTTAATGTTGTTGAGTACCGTTTGCGATTCCCTTCAGATGTCAGACATGTTTCAAAATGTTAAACCTTCAGTTTGGGAAACATCGAAATCACAGTGGGCTAAGTCCGGTGAGTAGGGAGGATGGGGAATGATAGCCATGTCGGTGTTAGTCACAAACTCTGTGGTTTTCGGGGATGTGTGGTTGGACCGTTGTCATTATGAAGGAGCAATGCAGTGCATGTTCAAATTTTCGGTTAAGATCTCCTGTCAAACTCCATAAGTGATCCTAGCGGTGTCTGCGAGCTCATGGATTGTTCGGTGATGGTCTTCGTGGATGATTTTAACATTTTCTGTCATTTTGCTGGTGCTTTGTTGACCTGAATGTTTTGTCATCTTAAACTGACACTCGACAGGCCTTGAAATGTGAATGCCATTCAAAAACCACTGTCTGGCTTAAAGAATATTCTTGCAAAAGCCTCTCGACGCATTTGAAGGGTTTTGGTAGCGGATTTGCCTAGCTTCATGAGAAATTTGGTACAGACATGTTGCTTGATTTTGCCATACATTGCAGACAAAAAGAGATACAAATTTGAAAAAAAAAACTCTTGTAAAAACACTGCATGTTCACAGTGGCAGACTGATGCAGTAGGCTTGCAGAAGTGTGACCCTGGCCTCCCCTCTCATCTTTCACCGAGGCAGTTACAACAATATCTGTACAGAACTTTCTGATACCACCTCAAATCTCTTTTTACCTCACATTTTCTTTTGCTGTTCACACAGTATAGTCTAAATACTTCCTCTTCTCAGTCACGTGTAATTTGACCTTGTATTAGGAGATATTTTGATGGAAATCCCTTGCAGCTGATGTGATCTGTTTCAGTGTTGACCTGTGTATGTGATATGCACAATACTAGACCACAGGGTTCTTGAAGGAATAAAATCTGAGTCATATCTAGACCTTATGTCATTTAGTTACAACATCCTGTAGTAGCTCAAAGTGTTGTGTGTGTGACACACATCTCATTGTCAGATATTCTGCAAGTAATATGCACAAAGTCATGACTGAATGATTACTTATGTCATATTCTTTAGATCAGAAGTTAAAATCTTGGTTCAGAGACTGTTTTAACAGGTTTTTGTGATTTTTCACAGTCCTTTGGGGGAGGTGCTGGGAAAGTACCTCAAATTAAGCCATTGTCAGCTTATTTGACATGCTTTCTGACTCACCAATCATATTATTCACCACTGTATAGTCTAGGCTACTAATAATGACATTAAATAAACCATAAAAACCTGTAGTTTGCAGCTATGTTGGCTACTCAGGTGATTATAGATCCACATATATCAGCATTTGTACACACACAGACTCAAACAGTAGATAGAAACATAATATCCCAAAGGCTCATCAAAGAACTGAATATATTAAGAAAGTATGCATTGTAATTTAAATACATGGCCCTAAACCATTGACTCTTACAAAAGATGTGGAAGCAGAAGCTTCAGGTGAAATTAAAGTGTGACATTAATAGCCGCATGCCGAAAGATATGAAAGGGTATGGAAGTAATAATGAAAAAGATGTGCCAGTATTCATAGAACTATTTGGAAGTTACTTATGTAGGGTCTGAGATGGCAGTTGTAATGTTATGTGCGGTAGTGTAATTGGTTGAGGCACTATTCTACAAGCTGGAAGGTTGTGAGTTCAAGTCCCGATGAGGTCATTGGATTTTTTTTTTCTGTTGACCTAATCCTTTCAGCTGCACTATGGCCCTGGGGTTGACTCAGCCTCTAACAGAAATGAGTACCAGGAATATTCTTGGGGGTAAAGGGTGGCCACCATGTAAGGCTGACAACCTTGCCTCCATCTGTGAGCCGATTGTGTAGAAAATGTGGGAACCTCAACACCTCACAACCTTATGAGCCTCCACGGCCTGTTACAGGGATAGCTTTACTTTTATGTGATTGCTGTAAAATGTTAAGTTTAATGATTTCAGTGTCAACCTTGAATTAAAGAATTAGTTTTATACTTATGCACAATCATTGAGCACTTTAAACAGAACAGTCTTTTGTATGTAGAGACATTTCTGTGCAAAGATGGCTGTGCCATGGCTCAGGCAGTTAGTAGCCGGCTACCCACCTTGGTGGCCCAGGCTCAGTCCCAGGTCAGATCACATGGAATTTGTGGTGGACAAAGTGGTATTTGTGCACGTTTTCATTAAGTACTTCAGTTTCCCCTGCCAATTCTCATACCACCTGCTGCTCCACATTCATTACTGTTAATTGGATTCAAAGGGGCGAAGCATAGGATCCAGCGGAGGACCCTTGTGATCCCAGTAAAGAAACTTTAGGTTCCATAAGAGGCTGTGAACTTCTTAATCAGCTGAGAAACTGTTAGCTTCTCAGGAAGGTCACAAAAACTTGCAGTCCCCCCCCCGTTATGAGCCTGTTGAATGCAGGTTACACTGTTAATAGTATTTCTTTAAGATCCATTTATTTAATCTCTTCTCTATTCCTCAGTCCCCAAAATAGTTTGTCCCTTCAAGTTTCAAGCATAAATTCAATACAAATTCTTTGAAAAATTGACATTGGAATGTTGTGTGGGAGAACACTGAAGGGACTCAGGTGCAAGAGCGGCTGAATCCCTTGTTTCCTGCCTCATTATCATGTTCGCACATGTGCGTAAAGTGGGACCCTAACTGCTTGCAGGTTCTCTTGCATAAAGAAATGACATGCTACTGCTACACTCCAACTGATAGTTCTATCCACATTTGTAAAACGTTTTCATTAAATCCACTGTATCTGCCTGATAAACAGCAGCTACCAAACTGCATAGTGTCACATCCCTGAAGACCATATCTTCACGTTCATCACCACGAGGGGCCTTGAATCTCACATTAAAATAACTGTTGAAAGGACCACTTTGCAGCATCCAAGTGGACGTAGCATAGGTATCAAAAGATTTGTGACGTGTTGAAATTCATATTCTGTAGTTTTGTTGCATAAAGCTGTACAGATTTTGATCTGTGAAGCCCCCCATATAGTGTGGGGTGTTTCTCTAAATTTCCTGCCTCTGTGTTGGTTTTTAGGTATTCACAGTAGCGACTGGTGAGCATATTGTTGGCTGGATTCTAAAGCCAAGTAGCTAGGAGGAAGCCAGATATTTCAGAGGAACATATCATCTTTATATTCAGGGATGAAACCAAGCAACAATCCAGCTTGCTCTGTGTGCTCTCTGCTTTGGCTTGCAGTTTGACCCTGAAAATGCAGGCAGTAGGTGCCACTTAAATGTTTTTTTTTTCTCTCTGAACTACAGGTT